TTGTCCTGGAAATCACCCGCGGCTGCCTCTTCCCGCCCCCCCCTCCCCCCACCCCGTCTATTTGTTGTGGAAAGATTGATTGAGAGACACGAGGGATTTAGACTGCCATATTTGTTGTTATTTGACCTTTTCAATTATATCCTGTTAAAAATGTAAATGCTTCATTTGTAATAATGTACATATGAATTTGCTTAAGTGGTCTGCGAGCAAGGCTTTCAGGAGGAAGCATTTACCTTTGTTCTCCTGTAGACCTCTTCGAGCTGACTCAGTGAAGTGAATTCAAATGCAGCTGAGGATGCTCCCCGCCTCTCTTGGTTCTCCACACGAGATCTAAAGATGAGAAAAAGAACCCAGACTAGTAATGTCAGAATCACACAAGTGCTGAAAAGTGAAATGATACGTGTTTAAGGATCCTTGCTTCGGTTTGGATCGGTTTTCCTTCTTTTAGGCATAAATACCTTTTGTCAGCTCTCAGTAACGACAGCCATTTTTTAACAAGACAAAAGCACTTGAGGTCAAGAAATGCCATCATTGAAGTTGAAACCCAGTTTTAAATCTTCCCTCTCTGCAGGAAAATAAGAAACAAGGTCTTTCATTGCCATGAAGTGGTCACACATTGTTTTTCGGTTAACGCAGCTTTAGCTTGCAAAACTCTTTGTCCAATGAGTTACATACGTGCTTGACTTCTTCATCATTTCTTGTCATTCTCACATTAGTTTCATATTTATGGCTTGCTTTAGCACCATTGTAGCTAAAGCAGGTGTCTGAACGTCTGCTTGTGGGAATCCAGGTCCTTGCTGCTCTCTGGCAGCGTACCCTGGCATTTGCACACAGGGGAATCTCTGAATGGGAAACATCCAGGACAGACCTTCTTGCTGTACCTCATGCCAGTGCTAAGGGCATAGAAGGGAATAAAGATCTGCTGGTTATTTACATCTACATTTTAGTAGTCACAGGCTGCTGCATTAGGCCTTGGAAGGAAAGTGTAGGGTGGCTTAATTAGAGCCATGTGCTAGCCCAGGTTTGAAGACCAGCAAACTGCTGAGTCCATCTTTGCATATGTGTACCAAGGTTATGCCAAATATCCAGAGTTTCAATGCTTTTATTTTTATTAGGCTGGATGGGCAAGGTTGCAAAAGCAAAATCACTGGTGATCTGTAAAAATTAATAAAGACAAGATGCAGCCTCTCCTTTGCCTTTTACTTGCCCATGTTGTCTTTTAATCGGTAGTAAATAGACATAAAATGCTGTTCAGTCCAAATCACGTTGCCTTACAGTGACCTTATGCTCCCTCCCTCCTCTGTAACGAGATGGCAGAACTGTGATGAAGCAGCCATGAGTGGAGTGCACGAAGTGTCTTAGAAAAATTTAGCTGTGTTCACGTAGCCAGCTTTCTCTGCCTGTACCCCAGTAGCTGTTTGACCAAGCTGCTGCAGACTTTGTTAGAGGTGACATGAGTCAGGGGGCAGAGCCCAAGCCAGCAAAGTGCTTCAACACAGCTCTCGCAGAGGGTGAGCCAAGGCGGGAGAGGAAAGCAACAGGACCCTGCTGAGGTCCTGCAGGAGTTGTAAGGCTGCTGCCATAAAACGGACAGAGGATGACTATGGAAGAGATTTGAAAGTGAGAGGGAGAGGGGATTGCTTATTTGGAGGCTGTTTTGGTGAAGACAGTGGGAAAGCCAGGCCTGTTTATAAGCAGGGACAAGCAGAACAGAAGAACCAGACACAAAAGTCGCCAGAGTAAACCCCACAGCCTCCCCCTCCCTTCCCTTTTCAGGGGTTCATGACACTGGTTCCCAGACCCTGTTGTTTATGTCCAGCCAAACTTTTTGCCTTGTGCTTAATGGTGACAGGGGCATGTGTGAAAATCATTGTTGCAGAGAGGTGGCTGGGATCTGGAGACATGTTAGAGGAGAACAGAGGGAGGCTGGGAGAAAGGCTGAAAAATGACACCTAAAATGCCATTTCAGAGAGCATGCCCTACGTTTCTCAGTCATATCTGCAGGCCGGTTGCTGTCTGTGAGTCCTGAATACTTCATTTTTTTGCTCCATAACAGCTTAAAGTTGTGGGTTTTTTCATTTCACTTGGTCATGGTGTTCTTCATTCCTTGTCTTATTTGTTACAGAATACAGCAGCAATATTACAATTAGATATTTATGGCAATGGTGACAATCTAGCAGTAGATAGCCAGCATGTAGGCAATGAATGGAGAAGCTTTCGCATGCATGTCAGCATGTAAAGTACCACTCAAGTGAAGTTAAAAGGTGTCTGACCATAAAAAAAAACCCAAACCCACCTGTGATTAGGTTGCTGCATTTCCTTTGCAGTGTACAAAGCAGTTTGGGATCCTGAAATAGAAAAGCTAACATATAAATAGAAGCTATTACTATTGTGTGAAGAAATCTCTAAATTTGTAGTTGTACACAAAGTATGGGGGAGAGAGAAAACATCCATTCCTGTTGATGTGACAGCGCGTGGTTTGCAGATGGCGTGTCCATTCTCAGGCGCAATGGCACCACGTGGCACTGAGCTCTGCAAAGGATGTTTCTAGTCCCATCCTCACGGCTTTTAGGCTTAGGTGCCGGTTCAGGAAAGCGTATTTATTGGTGAATCTCTAAAGTGGAACAATACATTGTCATTAAGTATACACTTAATGATCCGTTGGAGTAAGTGTGACTTTGCCATAAAGGAAATTCTATTTCAACATATGGAAAAAAATCCCAACTGCAAGAGCGGTGAAACTTTTGAGCAGGTTGCCTAGAGAAGCTGTGACATCTCCCTTGAAGATTTTCAAAACCCGTCAGGACAAAGCCCTGAGCAAAGACATTTAACATTAAGGTTAGCTCTGCTTTGAGCAGGAGGTTGGACTAGAGAACTGCCCCCATTCTCCTCCCAGCAAGGTCTCTCTGAAACTAAATCTTCCTATGTACAAACACGTCTCCCAGCCATGAAGAGATGCCCCATGAACCCAGCATCTCTTAACTTCTAGCCTGAAGGTGTAGATTCTCTCCCTTCATCTTAGGGTAGGGAGAAGGAGGGAAAAGCTGCTCTGTGTGGTTTTATTAGAAATACAGAGGGAGGGAGGTGATAGGGGAGGGAGGATGGGGAGCCAGAGAGGCAGGAGGAAGGTGGAACTGTAGGGGAGTATGTACGTGGGAATTTGTATAGGAAACAGGCAATGTTACCTGGGTCTGGGGAAACATCATTGTATGAGCACATATAAATGAAAGCAGTCAGGTGTGTGGGGAACAGCAAGACACCTATTTCAGAGAAGATGGGCTCCCTTCCTTACCTGTTCTCATGCATCACATGAAGTTTACAGGAGTAGTTTTGGTTCAAATGTGACAAAGCTGGCACCTCTCAGTAAACAAACAGGGACTTGAAATATTAAGGTGAAAGGGACCTTAGAAACAGTAGAGGGATACAAATATCAGTCGCATCTCTGAGGTATGAAATGTCTTGGGATCCATTCTCATTTGCTTATGTGTTTTTTTACTGAAGTAGAATTTAATTTGATAGCCCACTAGAAGTACATCCAAAGGGAACTGCTGGGTGTGCCTTACCAAGTGTTTCTATGCTTCTCTCTCACAACAGGGTGACTTTCGCACTGTGATCACTTTTTATAAAATAAACAAAGCAAGCTGCATGTAATTGGAGAGTTGAGTGTTGCTAAACCCAGGATATTTGTAAGACACCCTTGCAGTCCAAAGTGCCTTAGCTTCCACTTACTGGCTTGCATTTGTACGTGCCTGTGCTTCAGAGAATGTTTAACCAAGGAATAAACTGCCCCTCATCCCCATCCACACTAATTTCATGCAAGAATCCATCATTTTATTAGAAACTTTATCTGTGCATTGGAAAAAGGCTTTTCTTTTTAGGTCAGTGACAGGGAGAGCAAAGAAGGGGTGAAGTTGTCAAATGACTGTGGTAAAGGATGTTGGTAAAGATGAACTGCTTGAAGAGCTTGCTTCTGGACTGATGTTTTTCTTCTATTCAGGACCTTCCTCCTTTGCCACCCATTGCTAGGGACAAATACAAAGAAACATGCGAGAACAATTTAAAGCAAAGTTGCAGTACAGGGAAACATACAGAATATCTGAGCATTGGTAACAAATGTTCCCAGGTCAGAGACCAAAGTTCTGTGTTACACTTCGAAAGACATTTCTTCAAATTAAGAACTTCAATCCTGTCTCCAGTTGTCTTCCAAACTCCGTAGGATCCCACTACCGTAATTGCCATCCTTACTGATGCATTCAGGTATAGATTAGGCTTTCTCATACCTTGGTTTGATTTATCTAGGTGTGGGCTGCATTAACTTGGAGGGTGATGAGGAAAACTTGTGCTGTTCTCTGCTTTGAGCTGGTCAGCATGGGTAGATCCCTCTGCTTTTGACCCAATGAATTTCCTTGAAAGGAAAGAAAGCTAAGCTGTCCTAAAAGGCCACCAGAAGAGGACTAATGATTCCTGTCTGTCAACCTGGTAACTCCATTCTCTGTTTCCTCCCATTTAATCTGTTTTGTATGTTCAAATGTGAAGCTTTTGGCTTGGTCCTGGATTTGTGTTTGAAAAATATTTAATGAACTTCCACTGTGGTGCTGATGAAAGCATAACCTGAACTGTCACTGGCCTTTTCTCTGTCACTATGTGTTTCAGACTTCTGTCTCTTCTATCCATCCATATCTTTGCAAATTTATGGCACAGTTATTTCCACTAATTCCCTAGTTTCAGCTTCCCACCAAGTATAAAGCAACAAACAGGAGAAATGTTGCTTCAAGTACAATGCAGCCACTTATTTATTTGCATTCCTTCATCTAGTAAATGCACACTTGAGCTGAAATCCTTTGTTATTTCATCTGTATTAGGAGGATTTTCACTTACAGATGGACTGGGCAGTGGAAGTTGTACCGCCCCTGGGAGTTTTGCCTTTGTTTGATTTGGCCTCCTCAGACATCATCTCGGAGGCCTGGGATTCAGGAGCAATCCCACTGCTGGTAAAGCCTGCTGAATGGGTTGAGCCTTCGGCACCTAGAACAGTTACAAAGGAGAGGTTACTGTGCTTTCCTGACTGGAAGGAACCTTATGAGAGAATTATAATATATATATATGTACATATATTGTGTTTAAAAAAACAAATTCAAGGCTAGCAAATGTATCAAAAGACAAGGCAACTGCTGATTACTTGACTTGTTCCATCAGTATACTGCTTTTTAGCTGCCACCTTGGGGAAGGTATGTTTGCAGTGCTTTGTGGATGTTCCCAGAACACAAATTAAATCTACAACTCTTGTACAGACTGTTTTTGATAAATTTGGATCTCCAAAACAGTTTTGGCACAGTTTTCCTCTGCTGAAATTGCAATTTTCTGAGGACTGTGGAACAAACCCCTACAGGAACTAAGGATTGTGGCAGACCTCACCGCTTGCTGTTCCAGGTGACAGATATGTTCCTTTCACTTCATTTTCCATAGCATAAACCTACGCATAATAGATACCTGTAGAATTCAAACACCATCAATCAAACTGTAGCAGCTAGGGGCCCGTTTATATGTATGTCTCCATCTCACTGCAAATAAGCCCCAAGCAAAGTATTCCATTGCAAACTCTTCTTCTCCTGGGAGAGGAGTAAAGCATTAGCAATGACAAACGTTAGTGATAATGCTTAAAGCATTCCTGGAGGATACTCAAATATTTTGGTGATGAGCTTGTTATAACATCTTCTGTAAAGTGATACTGAACAATACTCATGCCCTGCTGCAGAATCAGCCGCGCGTGTTTGTTCTGGGGGGAGGAGGGGTTACAAGTCTGACTGAAAAGGTTAAGAAGATGTGTTTGAAGAGCAAGAGATTTCAGTGAGCACCTGCGGAAATGAAATCAGGCGCTTTTAGCTCTCAATCAGGCAAAGAATGTGTGGCAAGCTCTCCTGCTGCAGGGAGCCAAAGCTCACACCTGCCTTGGCAGTGTTACAGAGCTAGAGTTTTTCACATGGATAAAAGCTCTTTTGGAGTGTCTCCTGTCGGCATGGCTAAGGTTTCCTTGAGTCACACAGATTTCTCTTCACCAAAACCAGTGGTTTCCATAAGACTGCATCGTTGACACAAGCATGGAAAGAATAAAACTAGGCGGTGTTAAACATTTGCTTTGCTCCTCTCCTTCCTAAAGACTCTCAGCACATGGAGGGATACCAGTCTTCAGTCTTTTATTTTAGAAACTGCAATTTCATACTCTGTACAGGGCATCCCCACTGAAGAGTTTGCCACTGGTTACAGGTGTGCTGAGTACTGCTGCGCCACCCTTACTTGTAAAAGAAGGCAAGACTGTGCTGCTGACCCTGCCCTTGTGTGCAATTAGGTTAAGTAACTGGCGTGTCTGGAGTACCAGGGTCTCTGGTGCTAATGCAGCTCTTCCTCCTCTTCACTCTCCATCCTCCTCCTCTCCTCCCCCATA